TCCTCTTCGACTGCCCCGGCCAGGTCGAGCTCTTCACACACCACGGCTCGCTGCGCAACATCTTCTTCCGCCTACAAAAACTTGGGTATCGAGTATTCGCCCACCGCCCATGGCTTGCAACTGGAGGCTAACATGCGCCAGCTCGTCGTCGTACACCTGACCGACTCCATCATCCTCTCGCGACCGTCGCTCTACGTTTCCTCCCTCCTGCTCGCCCTGCGCAGCATGCTGCAGATGGACCTCCCTCACCTGAACGTTCTCACCAAGATCGACAACCTCCGCAACTATCCCAATCTACCCTTCAATCTCGACTACTACACCGAAGTCCAAGATCTCCAATACCTACTGCCGCACCTCAACCGCGAACAGACGTCCGGTATTCCGGGCCCCACCACAGCCGGCGCAAACGAGGACGTGGATCCGGACGACGACGAGCCAACCTCAAAGTTCTCCGCGCTGAACAAGGCTATCGTAGAACTCGTAGAGGACTTTGCGCTGGTAGGGTTCGAGACACTGGCGGTCGAGGATAAAAAGAGCATGATGACGCTACTGCGAGCTATCGATCGTGCGGGTGGCTTCGCGATGGGTGGAATAGAAGGCGCGAACGATACTGTGTGGCAGATGGCTATGCGTGAGAATGGGGCAACTATGGATGCTCGCGATGTACAGGAGAGGTGGCTGGACAGGCGCGACGAGCTCGACGAAGAAGAGAGGAAGGCATGGGAGGATGAGACCAAAGAGATGCGCGACCCACCACCACAGAACCCTCCCCAAGCACCGCCTGCCGCGAAACCACCTACAAAGTCCAAGGATCAAGATAGTGACGACGACATGGACGATCTTGAAGAGATGCGACAGTTCATGGAGAAGAAGGACTCGGGCATCAATGTAGTTAGGAAGTGAAGTAAGGATGCACTGGACCCTTAGGCAGCCCAAGGACCGCATGCCTGTTCAGAGGGCTCTCTTACGATATAATAGCGATGTCGGCTTTCTATGAGCTTTCGCGAAAAGGACTGTATGGCTACAGATCCTATCTACATGGAGTGACGATCTAAGCGTCATGGCGATTTGCAAGCTTGTAGAAATCTTGCAAGGTTGGGAATGGGAGCACCGCTTGATGTACAGGGAATGGCTTGAGCCGAGGAGCTGCGCGCGACCACCATGAAGGAAGGTCAGGCACTTAGTCCAGGTTTGGATCTTGAAACAAGGCGTCGCGTGAGCAAACATGCACGCGCCCGCACGGCTCGATAGTCGACTATTGTATAGAATCTGGCCCTGCACTAGACCCTAATCGATACCGTCTAATGTCATCGTATTGCTCTCTTGGCTGTTTTTGACTGCGCACATGCTTAAACGCAAGCCCTCGCGCGACCTGGTCCCCAGCGGCGGCCCCCACGTCTCCATCTTTAGCAGCGACCCCACGCTTAGTCGTCATAAGCGGAAGCGCTCGCTCTTCCGCTCCCAGCACAACAGGGCGCAGTGGGTACCCGAGCCAGAGCGCGACATGAGTGAACTGCTAGATTTCGTCCTGCAACATGAAGATGCCTTCAAGAAGTGAGTCCACCCATATGTCGGCGACACCCTGCATTGCTGACTAGCACAGCCAGCATCGCCTTGCATCGCTCTATGCAGACTTTCGGCAGCAGCTCGAGATAAACCCCGAAGGCTACCATGCGAACATCGCCGCATGGACGAAAGCCCTTGTCGACGCCTCACGGGCGGGCGTCATCCCCAGGCAAGGCACCACCCACGATCTCCTGAACATACGAGCTGCCGAGGAGCTCGCGCGAGCCCTACAGCACCCGCAATATGGCAAGCCCACGTGTCTACCGGCCGTCTTCCATGAAGCAGTGCAAAAGAAAGAGATGGTACCTCTGAAGGACTTCATGTCGTCAAAAGAGAGCATATACAAGACATCGTGGATACCCTCGCCATGGCAGGTGCTCCAGTGGAGCTTGCGGCAGGTTGGGGTACTGGGGCAGGTACGCGCACCGACCAAGATGGAGGTGGGGAACTTTGTCGTCGTCAAGAATGTCGAAGTCGCTGCGGATGAGATACTCAAGAAGATGAGGGAGCACGTATCTACGGCTGATCGGGTACTATCGAAGACAGACTTCTTGAAGCGTTTCGCGACTATACTAAATCCGACTGCACCACTCACGACGAACGACCTCGATATACTCCTCGTCTTCCTCGCCCGAGACAAGCAAGCGATATCTCACAACGATCAGACAATCAAGTTCAAGCCAGAACATGAGGCTGTGCCCCTGCCTGTCACGGAAGAAGACGCTGCTATTGCCAATCTTCGCGACACATTAGCGAATATCAATGCGCAGATACCCCCATTGATGGAGAAGATTGCTTTAGCCGATGCAGCTGCACGGGAAGCCGTAGTCGCGAAGCAGATGGTCCGCGCCAAAGCTGCTCTGCGCTCCAAGAAGCTTGCCGAAAACGCTCTCGCTCAACGTTCGGATGTCGCCCTCCAGCTCGAGCAAGTCTACACCGATCTACAACAAGCCGCTGATCAGGTCGAGATCGTGGAGGCCATGCGAGCTGGTGCAGCGGCCCTCAAAGGTCTCAATGAGAAGGTTGGCGGCGCAGAAGGCGTTCAGGGTGTTGTCGATGCCGTCAACGAACAAATGGCGACCACGGAGGAAATCACCAACATCATCAATGAGACCGACCAGCCTCTTGATGAGGGCGAGATTGACGACGAGTTCGAAGCACTTGAGAAGGCGGATCGCGAGAAGCGCGAGAAGGAAGAGGCCGAGAGGACTGCCGCAAGACTGGCGGAGCTTGAGGCAGTGGAGAAGAAACGCAAGGAAAGGGAAGCTGCAGACGAGGAGCAACGGCAGAAGGAGGCTGTTGACGCGGGTAGAACGGAGAAACAGGTCGATGAGGCGTCTCAGAGTATGGCGAGGATGTCTTTCCATCAGCCGGATGATGAGATGGAAGATCCCGAGGAGGAGAAGCGTACACCTGCTTATGCCTAGGCATGCTTTGATTATTCTGCGTTCAAATGGTTTATCTGCATAGCACCGGCGTTACGGGCTCTTATACCACAGATCAGCTACCTAGGTACTGATGGTACACTACACATTCGTCATTGCGAGAGAAATGTTACACTTTTACATATACAGTAATCATACACTTCCCAGACGAAACCTAGTCTTTTTATTGCATTTTAACTTTTGAGGACAATGCCTGTGAGCCCTGGAGCAGTTCGACGTCTCATTGCTCCTTCGCTCCGGCGCCACTAGCCGCCGCCACGCCAAGCAATCGCAGGGAACGCGGAACCTCACCTCGACGACGACACAACCAGCACCTATCAGCCCCCATCACAACCCGCTGCCCCTACGCCGGGACCAAACCAAACCACTCTACGTCTACCTCAGCCCTCGATCCGCTAGCCTGCAGACCACGATGAACTCCGTCCGCGCCGCGACCAGCGCCTCGCGCACCGCCCTCACCGCTTCGGCTCGCACAGCAGCTCCCCGCCGAGCCTTCTCACAGTCACAAACGAAGCGATCGGGTCACGGACCCAGCTACGATCCCCCGTCCGGATGGCTCTTTGGCGTCAAGCCCGGCGAGCAGTATGAGAAGGAGGGGTGGGAGAACGCCATGTACTGGGGCTTTGGAGGAGCGTGTGCGTTTGGCGTTGTTGCTTACGCTTTCAAGCCGGATACTAGGTATGTGCAAATTTCGTGGAAGAGGGAGATGGAGGAAGATGATGCGGGATGGGTGAAGAGGTGGACCAGGAGGGAGGGGTCATGAAAAGGCCATGGAAGCAGCCCTCGAAGAAGCGGCAGAAAGAGCGCAGCGGCAATGCATTGATCGAGCAGAGACTAACAGTCTACCAGCATCCAAACCTGGGCCCTAGAGGAGGCGCGACGAAGACTCGAAGCCGAGGGCATCCTCGCAGACCCAGACACCGTCAAGAAGGAGTAAACGACACTTTCAGCAAGTCAAGAAGACCCTAGACCTGGGCGGAAGTCTTACAGCAACACCACAGAAACTGTATATATGCTAGTGGGGACGAGGATGCGACACTCTTTTTCCTTTGTGAGCTTGGATCTGGATGGGCTAGACGCTCGATAGACTATGCGATGATGGCTGAGTAGCCGAGGGTAGGCAATTGTATTTTTTTGTTATGGATGTTTGTGAATGGTATGTTCACGGGTATGTGGTGTGATGCTGACGATCTTGCGCAACCTTTGGCTATGTGCAGGTGGTAGACGATGTTTGTCGATATTTCAGAGGCTGCTGAGGTCCGCGTACATGAAGCATTTCCGCTTCGGCCAATACGTGAGGTTGTTCTTTCAAGAACCAATCTTCCTTAGGGACTGAGAAATGCCCTGGGGCACTCCTTCCTTCCCCAGGCCAACATTAGCTGCTTCGGGTTAGCCATCGCTGTGCCGCAGCTCACAGGAAGGCACGTCACAATCTTCGCACCTACAAGCCATCACTACCGTCCTCCATTACGCCAGACTCATTACTCAGATCTCTCCCGCCAGGATGCCGCAAAGCCAAAGCGCATTGTTACGCCTACCTACAGAACTCCGGCTTCAGATTTACTCATACCTGCTGCCTAACGACGTCCACGTACGCCTCCGTAATGGCAGGCTTCTTGCATCGGCCTGTATTCAGGGCGGTGCCCCTTTCCGTGGCGATACATCTAGTTACGACATTGAATATACCGACGAGACTTGGCAAGTTCGCGTGCCCACGTCTGTGTACGCCCGTCGTCTACAGTCAACCTGGGGTCTTCATTGGTCATGCGAGGAACACACCTCGTTGTCACACTTCTTGTTGACTGAATGTACGGACATTCCCGATCTTCTGAACATCTTTCCGGGCGTGTAAGTACATTGGAAGGCTTGGTGTCAAGCGCTCACGCCACTAGTCGTAATGAAGTGTACGATTTCCTTGCTCGTACTTCGACTATTCATGTCTCTGACCTGGACCTCATCAATTACTGGGCAAGAGCTTCGGAGATAACCATGCCAGCCGCTTCCGAATTCGCGAAGATGCCATTATCGAATGTCAGTCGTCTGAGTATCACGCTCAAGCTTCCGTTAGCTTTCTTCCAGTCAGTGGAGGGACTCTCAGGCAACTATCCTACATCCTCAGACATAGGTCCAGCAACGCAGCCAGCACGGCTTTGGCAAGATTTAGGCTCCATTCTCAGTCGTTTCGAAGCTCTCAAGAAGCTGGACTTGTGGCTCGATCATAGTGAGCCGCAATTCTGGGTCGTGGTCAACGAACGCTCGACGCTTGACCCTCTTCTCACACAACTAAGTACTCGACCCGATCTCGACGTCACCGTCACGCTACCCATGCTTCACCCGAAATTTGAACAGAACGAGCGACACTACACCGAAGACAGCATCTCGGGCAATATTCGGATGAACAGGGTGTTGAGGTCGAAAAAGCATGCTGTTGTTGGTGCTCAAGGATGTATCGAGATTGTTGCATGCAACGACTTTCCATTGTTCTCCGAGACATATCAGGCGAGAGGGATGGGTTTGTCTGCGTTAGTCGGACGGGAGCGGGAACAATGGATACAAGGGCGCGATGTGGAGGATCAGTACAGAAAGCTTACGAGAGGTCGGTACTCAAATTGGTATCCCTAGACTGTAGAGTAACTAGTCATCGGCTATCGACTCGTTGCTTCTATCGTCACACATCACAGTGCTGACTGAATCATTTTCTACTGGTGTAAGCTGCAAATGTGCGCGGAAATTTAGCGATGCCATCACTTTCACCGCTCATGTGAGCGTTTGCCTCTTTGTCAACTTGTTTAGCGCAGTCACCTGTCAACAACCATTTGTGGTGAACTTACTTTCGATATCACGATCCAAACGATTACTCTGTCGAAATCCATCAACCACGAGCATGGCGAAGAAGAAAGCAGCAAAAGCTCGCTTGAGCGATACGAGCGATGAGAGCGAAGTGGATGGCAGCGTACCAGTAACTGCGCCTACGACTCCACTACTTCGTAGAGCAACACGCTGACACTATACTCGCAGAATATCGACGATCTCGCTACTTTCATCGAGGCCTACAAGCAGCTACAAACCAACAACACAAGCTTACGCAACAAACTCGCAGAGCGCAAACGCGAGCATGACCAAGTTAAAGTTCAACTTGAAAAGGCGGCACATGCCAAATACGCTGCTAAGTTCGAGGCAATGCGAGAAGAGATGAGCGTTATGCGGCAAGACAAAGCGGGCTGGATAGAATCTATCGAAGATCTGGAGTCTGAAGCGTTGACTGCCAAAGACAAGGTCGCAACTCTTGTGGCTGAGAAATCGAAGCTTCAGCGTTCGGTGGTAGAACTCCATGGAGCCATGGCAGGATTGTACCAGACGATCGAGGAAGGCAACAAGCGCTTTGATGAAGTCAAGGAGCGAGTGAAGGCATTTGCGACCGAGCTCTAGATGTTCAAGGGGGCGACACACGCGAACAGCATGGTAGATACGTCAAGTATAACGAATGCAGTCAATTTGTCTCTATATGCACACTTCTAGATCCACCACAAGTATATACAATTGCGAAGCCAAGCGAGAGGACAGCCGGAAGGAATCCACGAACTCTTACAGTACCGAGTTCCAGTCCCTCTCCAGCATCTTATCCAACAACCCCATCGAGCGCTTATGCGGGCTGAGCGAAGGTAGAGCCAATGGGACCGAACTTAATGTTGGAGAAGACGACAGTTGCGCCGGGCGAGTTAGCCTCGACATCCTCAGGCTTGCCAGAGTCAGTAGCGCAGGTACCACGGGCAGCACCAAGCTTGTCAGGGCTAGCATCGGTAGGGTAGGTGGAGTCGAGCCAGAGCATGTTGACCGCATGGTCGTCCCAGAGGGACATGACGAGGACGTGTCCGCGAGCAAGCGAAGCACCCATGCCGTTGAGGCCACCAAGGGTCTTGAAAGAGTTTGTGTCACCGAAAGTGGTCTTCTGCGCCTCACAGAAGGACTCGGTGATGGAGTTACCGGAGACGCCTTCGATGGCGGAGTCGGAGTTCTTGGAGACCTTTCCGCCCTGGATGTAGAAGCGCTTGATGTCAGAGAGGCTGGAGCCGGAGCCGATGAACTGGGTGACGACGGTCATCTTCTTGGTGGTGTCGAGAGTCATACCGGGGCCGTAGAAGTCCTTGACACCCATGCGGTAGCTGTTGAAGTCGCAACCGTCCTTGTCGCAAAGTCCGCCGTAGCGGTTGTCGCCGTCACCGCAGCTGACTTCGTCGGTGCACTCCTGGAGACCAGTGCCCTTGCAGGGATGGGGAGTGTAGGCAGTGGAGATGGAGTTGGCCTCCCAGATGTCCATCTCGGGGCAGCAGGCACCGATCTTGCCGGAGCCGGCGTTGGGGTCGGCGTCGGACGGGTTCCAGCCCTCAACGTTGGCTACACCGTTGATGAACTTGATGTCGTGGGGGCACTGCGAGTCGCAGTATCCGGTTCCGTACTTGGCACCGGCCTTGTTGTTGCCCTTGTTGATGCCACCGTCGGCGGCCATCTCGACGAAGTAGAGAGCTCCGTTCAGACCGCAGGGTAGCTTGGAGACATCGACATCGAAGGTGAACTCCTTGCCGATGAGGTTGAACATCTGGTACTTGGTGTCGCTCTCCATGAGGTAGGTGCGAGAACCAATGTTTGCAGCGTAAGAACCCTTGGTGACGAACTGGAGGCTCAAAGAGTTGCTGCTGGTCTTGATACCGTAGGTGCCTAAGATCGTTAGCTAAGGGCTTCACATGTTGTGTCGTGGACATGTTAACGTACCAGAGTAGTCAGCACCGTCGATAGCGCAGTTCTTGGTGCAAGTGCTGCCGTCAGGGCAAGCGGTCGTGTTCCAAGAGTTGCCGTCGTAGCAATTGGTGTATCCACTGGTGACATGAGACCAGCGCCAGTTGGCATCGAGCGTAATGGAACCCTGCTTGGTGGTGCAGCTGTTTCCACCGGTACCAGTGCAAGTCTGCCATGTCAACTTGGGGTGTGTCTCTGCTGTCGATGTGCCAGCCTGCTGAGCGCGGGCGGCTCCGAAGAGCGAGAGCGAGGTGAGGGCGAGTGTCCTGTACATTTTGGCTTCTTGAGTGAAGATATGTTGTTGGATGTCGAAAGTATTGGAGCGATGGGCTGACCTTCTTATACAACATTCTTGAGCTCATGGCTACTAATCAAAGTACTCTGCAGAAGTACCCATATGACTGTTGATTATTGCAAGGTGCAGGAGATCTACACCCTTGACGTCCCTCTGTGATGTTCTCACCAATGCTGTAAGAGGAACGGAACATCGGGAGCGCAAAAGAACGCTAGGAGTGCCAGAGTAATGAAGGATAGATGAGGTATGCCATGTTGCGCCGCATCGTGGGGTAGTCCGGGGTATTGCGGAGATCTGTGCGCCACCACGCCCGGGATCTTTGCCTTAAAGAGATAGTGTATGGATTGACGAATGGAGAAGCATATGGAGACGTACTATCAACCGTCGGCTTCACTGGTGGCCAAGTCTTAGCCTTCCGTCTCATTCGACAGTGATGGGTCAGCCTCGTATGTAAGAAGGCAAAGCTGTGGATCAGCACTCGTAGCTGTGTCCGTGATATTCGCATACAGGATTGTGGCTGGGTCACGAGTGACCGCATGTGCACACACCATCCAGAAGAATACATCATGCTAGCTTTCACAGTAAAAAGATACGCGACGATGTATACTCCAATGTGTGTTGTACCTTGGGTACAGCTCAGGACCATATCGCGTTGTTTTGTGCAATTCCACCCGGTGAGCTCAAAACCCGGTAGGAATAGATTGCTTTTCCCATGATCCATGGGCATATACGAGAGACTTTTCTCGAAAGATTTTCCGGACTGGGGGGCATACTTAATCTGTAGCAGAGGTCATGAGGCTCAGATCTTTTCCCGGGTAACGGTTTGGACGTGAAATCCAATAAGAAGAAAGAAGACTGAGATACGTACTTCGCTAGAAGCGGCACAAGGATACAGTCAGGTAAGTTGCATTGTGCCCCTCCTTCTGTTGCTCGAGTCTCATTGTTGTAGTAAACAACCATGACTGGCGCTGCTTGACATGCCGGTGTACGAATGGTATCGACAGAGACTGTTCAGCCAGTGTGTTTCCCCGTGTTGAAATGCATGAGAAGCATTGAGGCAGTTTCATCAGGTGTCCTTTCGTGGTGGAATGCAGGTACCGAGTTGAAGCGCCGAACCCTGTAAGCAAAACGAAGCTTCCGGAGCAGACGGGACGAGACCCTCATCCACAATTGGCTATGGATTTCAGAGCTTAATCAAGTTGCCCTGAGCCTTAGCAGAGTGGCATCGACCGGATTTCTCGGTCGAACTGCTAGTGCAGAATAGATTGAGGTCCAGGGGTGCCCGCTCGCCAAGACCGGAACATCCCAAGGTTCGCCATGAATTTGTCCGCCTGCTAGGTCGTTGGCAAGCAAAGCTTGTGACAGAAGTCCATCAACGCGTCGTTTGTATCGTGGTTTACGACAAGTCTCGAAGTAGCGTTGCACAGCGAAAGGCGCAGATGCTGTTTTCCAGAATGTTTTGTTGTGCATGAGGTCCGAGGTTCAGCCTAATCTTCCAGCAACGTGCAATATACGTTCCGACCACTCGATATGAACTCCGCACCAGTATTCGACGATCACAGGTCCTTGAGGGTTGTGACCCAGGTGGGCGGCAGTTTTCCAGGGCTTAGCGAATCAGGTGCGCTGTCATATACTGCGACCGGGTATAACACATTGAGCCGCAATCATCGTGACAGCGTGACCTCACAACACGGCTCAGGGGCACCAAACGCTTAGTTCAGTGGACATGCTTTGCTAGTACTGAGTTTGCATCACTATGCTTGAAACCGAGAGTGAGATACGTGGCTCCGGAAGCATAACTTGGTCGCATATCTCGGTACCTAGGTAGTCTTCAGGATCTTCTGGAAGCTCAAAGACTTGAGCATTCCGTATGTTGTCACCTACTTACTGTATTACGACGTGTAAAGCAAGCGAGAAGCATCTATCTAGTAAGTAAGGAGATAGGTTGCTATGGTGTTTGGAGGTTGGACAACCCCCAGCGCCGGCAGGAACCTCCAGCTTGGAAGGGTCCAAAGGCCTAGACCTCAAGAATGCTAGCGTATCCCCCGCACCTCTCGAGGTCGAGACATCGAAGTCTAGGTACCTGGTGCTAGGTAATCACTTTGAAATATTCTCCGTCTTTACAAACCTCATCCCCTTCAGGTTTTCTTCCAGTCAAGAATCTTTCGCAGTGTCGGCAAGTCGCCTGGTATGTGGTATATTGCCCAACTCCGAAATGTCTACATCTAAACCCACGCTTTGTACTCAGTACCATCCTTTCAACGTAAAGCGATCGCGGGTACTCAAAGCATTCTAAATAAGCTTGGAAAACCAGAAGAACGTCTAGAAAAGTCCATGCCCATGACGAGCATCTAGCCGAATCAACTCTTCAGCAACATCTCTCGCAACATCCCGTGTGTCTTCAGCGTACTTGCGAGCCACTGCTTCGTTCTCTTCTCTCGTCCGCCAATATCTCGGTCTTGCACTGGACCGTCTGATCTCATCTTGGCCTTCTTCCGAAGTATTCCTCCTCATGAAGGACCGATAGATGCGC